ACTGCCTACGCCTACGTTGTACTACGGCCTTAGCGGCTGGATCAATGGCGAGGTGATGACAGGCGACCTCAGGGTCGAGTCCGGGCATCTCCGCAGCGCTCCAGGTGAACAGATCAACATTCTCGCGCAGACAGACCTTGATTTGCTTCCTGGCCAAGTCGGGGAGGTCTTTGCCAATCTTCACTCCCATGGTCGGATCTGTGCCGAGGGGAACGAGTTCAAAATCCCCGTCTGGTATTGGTCGAAGTGGGATTTGCTCGCTGCTGGATGGCTCGTCCTGATCAAAGCGGGTGTCCAGGGCTATGGAGTCGACCTTTGGTGGAGCTTTCTGGACTTCTTCCTCGGGGGATGCTTTTCTGTCGGGCTCCTGTTTTGTCCTTTTGGAGGGTTTGGTCCCTATGTCGACGGTATCCCGTCCCTTAGAAGCGGCGTTGAAGCACCTATGGGCAGCGGCTAGGTCTTCTTGGATGGTGGTTACCCGTGCCCTCCTAGTGTAGAACTTCATCTTCAGATGGACGGTCGAGGGCACCGCTGTTAGCTCTGCCAGTGTCGGTCTCCCCAAGATGCAATTGTACAGAGACGGGCAGTCAATGACGAGGAAACAGACTTTAACTTGTCTCGTAGCCGTTCCTTCGCCGAACGTAACCAGGAGCTCGACATAACCCCAAGGTTTGGAAGTCGAGCCGTTGAAGCCTTGTAGATCCGACCCCACATATGGAGATAGATGTGAGTCGTCCAGCTGTAGGGTTCGAAATAGTTGGCTGTACATCACATCGACGGAACTCCCTTCGTCGACCAGGATGCGATGCACGTCAAAATTGGCCATTCTTGCCCTTATCAGTAAGGGGATGACCGCATTCGGGGCTCCGCCGGGGAGCTCTTCTAGGTAGAAGGTGATGGGCTCTGACCTGCCCTTCACCCTTTCGAATGTTACTGTTTGCGGGGGAGCTGCGTTGACCAGCTCGTCCAACTTCCTCTTAGCTGAATTGATGGTGAGGTCGTTGAACCCGTCCCCATTAATGACCATGGCAGAGGGAAAGTATTCCCACCTGCTGTGCGTTGTCAGCGGCTCCTGCAGGTGCTCGGGAATGTCGAAATCCTCGGGCCTGGTCACCGAGAAGGCGGTCTGGATAGGCACCGACTCGTCTGATGGTCGGGCGTCTTCTTCTGGCTCCTTGGCTTCATGGGCGTCACGACGAGGAGCGTCGTTTCGCCTGTACTGCGCGAGCCTCCCTCCCTTGATGAGGGTTTCAATGGTGTCCTTGAGGTGGACGCAGTCCTCTGTCAGATGACCATGACTCTTATGGTATTGACAGTATTTATTTTTGTCCGCCCCTAGCTTGGCGGGAGCAGGTCGGGGACGCTTGACGCCGCCGTCCTTGAAGTCTGTACTGGCACACTCCGCCAAAATACGCTCGCGGGAAGCTGTGAGCGGAGTGTACTCGGTGAAACGGCCCGAGGGGCCCCTTTGTTCCCGGACTTCCCGGGGTCGGTCTTCTTTCCTTTTCTCCCCGGTTCGTCGGGGAGGAGCCTCTTGGCGTGAGCTGCTGCTGTTGTTGGGACCCCGAGCCCTGGAGTCTCGGGCCCTGTTGGCAGCTTCCCTCTCCTCGTAATCCATGTATGCTTGAGCTTTATCGAGGAGGGCGTCGAAAGACCTGGGCGGCTCGATTCCCACGGCTTTTCTGAATTCTGTGCCGGGGAGGAGCCCCCTCTCCAGCAGATATCTCTTCATGTGGTCCGTGCAGGGGACCTGTATCGCTTCTCGGTTGAAGCGGTTGATGAACTCCCTCAAGGTCTCATCCTGTCTTTGGATGATGACCTCGAGCGCCGCCTCGGTCTTTGGATGGCATCGAGAAGCGGTGAAGGAACTGATGAACTGGTTCTTCAGGTTCCGCCACGAGGTGATTGAGCCCGGGGCGAGCCCTTTGTACCAGTCCATGGCCGCCTTCCTGAGAGTCGTGGGGAAAAGACGGCACTTGATGGGCCCCCCCGACATTATGATAATGGAGCATGGCCTCGAACCCGTCAATATGGTCGACCGGGTCCGCAACTATGTCATACTCCTTCAGATGTGGGGGCTTCTCCATGGCCGGGGGGATGGGTGCATCCATGATGGCCTGCGACAGGGGACCGCGGGGGTCGTCCTCGTCGCTCCTCTCCGGAGACAGAGATGGGGACCTGTAATATTGTCTGGCACGGTGGTCGTGCTGAGCCTCCCTCGAGCGTGATGCTCGTTGGTTGAATGTTACACGGCCGTCTCCGGCGTGTCTCTTGTCGTGCCTCGCCGGGTCGCGACTGGGTTCTCTGGCGGGGATGATGGGATCTCTCTCCAAATAGGGTCGCCTCTGCTTTGGCCGGGGAGAAGGGCTTCTGGAGTTTTCCCTGTAGTGTCTCCGGGGGAGAAGGGTGTCGAGCTTCAGTCACTCGAGGAGGGGGAGTATGTGGTCTCCGTTGCCTCCTCGAGGGTCTTCTCTCGTCTTCAAGCGCCTTTAATCTCTCCCCTTGGGCGAAGATGAGATAGTTCGTTTGGTTAATTGCTGCGAACAGCGCTTGTGTGGTGGCATCCGCCCCGGAGGGGACAGGGACTTCCTGAAACCGGATGACTCTGTAATGGGCGAGGGCCGCCGGGTCGTCCTCGAGTGGTGGTGGGAGCGAGGAGGATGATGCTGTGGCTCCGTCCCTGTACGAGGAAGTTCCGGGGACGGTTGTTGCAGGAGCGGTGTTGTGGCCGGGATTGCCGGTGTTGTCGAGATGTCCGTTTTTGTCTGCCGTGCCGTTATTGGTGTCGGCGACACGGACGTTCTGCTCATCGCGAGCTGGATCAGCCATGACAGGTAGTTGAATTTGAGCTTTGGTCTTTTGAGTTGTTTGTAAGACGGGGAAGCTAGTTTTCCACAAACGGCGCCACTGATCTAACCTGATCAGACTTGGACCGTCACGGCTGGCTCCGAGCTGAAAGTTTTGAACGAGGTGGGGGGGGGGGGGGTACCTGCAAGACACTCTGATGTTGAAGTAAGTAAGAGCACGAGCAGGCAATAGTAAGTATGGGTAGAATGATCAATACCTGACCCTCTAGAAACAGAGGGTATTTATAGCCCCCAGCGCTGGGCCAAGGTTCCTCCCTTGGGCCGGGCAGGTTTGGCCCAATGGAGGAACTGCCAGGTTCTACGTGCGTAGTGGGGACCCGCACGTGGTCCCCTTCCTGGATGTTCTGCGTGAAGTGCGGGCGGACGGAGACGCGATCTTTTCGAGGTCTCGTTGGGAGTGCAGTGGACTGAGTCTGCCCTAGTTGGAGTGCTCGAGGTGATGTCGAGCTGGAGATGTAGAGGTCAAGCAAGTAACCTCAGGGAGCACGTTGGGCACGACTGTGACCCTTTGGTCGGCGTGGTCCTTAGCAAGTCCATTTGGATTGGGCCTTAGCAATGCTATTGGACCTGTCGGGCCCAGTCCAGAACAATTCCCTTAATTCCAACAATATAATTATTATTAATTAATTAATTAATAATAATTCAACAACTTATACCAATAATTCTCAACATCTTGCAACTTCACAAATAATCCAAAAATAATAATTTAATTAAATAATTAATTAAATTACGAGCGTTACATAGAACATGAAGTTGTTGATCAAAATATTGAATATTAACGGGAACATGAAGTTACTGATCAAAATATTGAATATTAACGAAAATATGAAGTTATTGATCAAAATATTGAATATTAACGAGACCATGAAGTTGCTGATTAAAATATTGAATATTAACAGAAACATAAAGTTACTGATCAAAATATTGAATATTAACGAAAATATTAAGTTACTGATCAAAATATTGAACATTAACAGAAATATAAATCAAATTATTGAATATCAACAGGAGCATAGAATTACTGATCAAAATATTAAATATTAATAAAACAAATTTATTATTAGTTTAAATATTTTTTTACAACAATTCTAAAACAAAAATAATATTTATATATAAAAATATATTTCATTCGAATAACTTTATATATTAAAAAAATTATAACCATCGATTTATTATTTTTTTAAAATAAAAAAAACTATTTTATTTTTATTATATTTAAAAAAAAACTATTTTAATTTTATTATATTTTAAAGACAAATACGTATGTCATATCAATAGTGGTGCCAATGTTTTAATTTTAAAAGATATATATGATATAAAACTAGTTGGAGTTTAAATAGTTACCCAATGTTTTAATTACGATGATAGTTAAACCCTAAACCCTCAATAATATTGGGGGCGTCACTTTGCAAAGTTTGAGTTATCAAGTATCCCTTTCCTTCTACCTAGGAGCAGCGCCACCCTTTTCCTTCAACCAGAGGAGGATCAGCGCCACCGGTAATATGATTTTTCATTTTTCTTCACTATCCCTCTTCGTTCATAGTGGATTCGAAACTCTTTAACGATGCGCATAGTTATCGTGAAATGCGACGAATATGACATCACTGTAGCGGCCAGCGGCCGCTCCCCTCTGCACTGCCGCAATCACGCCATTATTGGCCGCGGTTAGGTTTATGTCATCGACAATGTGTGACAACTCCCTCTGTCGATTTCCCCCAATTTGTTTTTTATTTTTTTTTTAGATTTTGCTTTTGTTATACGGTGGTCAGGCGGTCAGGCTCGCAAGCTATGTGGCACTGACAGCTCTGAAAAAGTTTATTAATTTTTTCAAATTATTATCGGTGTCACCTTGACAGTGTTGGGGTCTTTTTTGGGTTGTCTGTGCTTCATAGCTGGCAAACCTGCGTAGGTCTGGATTTGAGTAGTCTTTTTAGAGATCATATTTAAACCCGACTATTGGCCCAGTTGAATGTTGATTTTACCGATGCATGATGTGTAAAGTCAAAAGAAAGTTGTTTTTGAATAATGAATACTAACTTTTGGATGCTAAAGGTTGTTTACAGGTTTAAATAGAAAGTTGTTGGGACTTCTAAAAGCCATTTTTTCTACATCCTGCTCTTATTTCTCTATTAAATGGAAAGTAAATCCTCCAATTCCTCTACAAACTTAGTAGATCAATTAGTGGTGAGTGGTTGCTGTTATTTATCCATGGATACAATACAATACAATACTGTGTATTATCTTTTGTGTTAATAAAATATATTTGTATATGGTTTTATAGTATCCCGGAGACGTGATTCTTGACCTCTCTAGCATGACAAACCAGACTATTAAGCTTGGAGGCGGTCTACGTCAGGTAGTTCTATTATAGATAGATTCACATCACAAATCAGAATACTCATTCATTAGCATGCTAAGTGAAATGTTTCACTCTTGCATTAGTGCAGTATATTATATTGGATCCACTCATAGACACTCTTTTTATGATGCCTCGTTTAGTTTGACATGGAGCTCATTGGCAGTGAAGTTTGTTTACAATTAATTGATAATTTCCCTGAGACATGCTGTTTGAAAAATGATGATTGCATTGGAAATTTAAATCTTTTTCACTTCATTCCATTCCATTCCATTGAAGTTTTCTGCATATAGTTTTCTCCATTGAATTATGATGCCTATGTTTTAAATCTTTTTCACTTCATTCCATTCCATTCCATTGTAAATTTAAATCTTTTTCAATTTCAATTTTGTTCGAACCTAAGGAGTCTTGTTGTATATATGTTATTTCTTCATTCATATCCATGCTTGGTACCTTCTAAAACAAGAAGAAAATTCTTACATTTTGCTCATTTTTTCCATTATATTAGTAACAGATTCTCATTTGTATCTAATTTTAGGACGGTGATGTGATTTCTGTAATGAAGGCCGGCCGACTTAGGTTCTCCAAGCCAAATAAATATTGGGTTGAAAGTTCTCAAAAGAGGGTGAGTATAGTGGTGTAAAGGCTTCCTCTGATTGATGCGGCAATGTTGAATTTTCAATGTTACTTGTTCACTTCCATTATGTTTTATAACATGTTTCTTTTTTCCTTCCATATTCTGACTATGCTATTTTGTACAGTATGTGCCCCGTCCAGAGGATTCGGTTCTTGGAATTGTTGTTGACTCCAGATCAGATGTAAGTAAATTCATATTTTTGTTGTCCAATTATTAAGCTCATACTAGTCTTTGAGATCTGCTCTACTTTCTTGTCGAATGCAATTTTTAGAGGTTCTTTTCTATTAACTATAGAGTATGTGGTGTCAATTGGGCAAGTAATAGTTTTATGATTTCAATTTTGAAATTAGGGTTTCCAATGTTGGACTTTTATTTTGGGATTTATTCTATGTTGGATTGTCTTGTTCCGACATAGAATAGATGTATCTTATTTGGTGTTTACTTTAGTCTAAAAGATACCTAGGTAGTACATTCTTGATAGCGGCGCATAGAGGTATAAAGATATCAATGATTGCAAAAACATTTATAAACTTGTTTGAATTAAAATTGAAAGCTTTTTCAATTGACTCTTTGACAACCCCCATTGCTGCATATATGACACCCATTGCAGGTTTTTTCTCACTGTCAACAATTCTGAGTGCCATGACCTGTAGGATCCTTAGCACATTTGAAATTCAACCAATCTTCAGAAGTGAACATATTTTCTAGTTTGACTTTTAGTCTTACAAAAAGTAAGAAAAGTGGTAGCAAACCTTCTGACTGTGTCTAACCAACTCAACATTGCCGGTGTTCTTCCTCATTATTAAGTTAATGCGTGGTTATAAATGTAGCCTACAACTACAAGGTTAATTCCTCTATGGATAACCTTTTTAACCTTATGAATCTTTTCAATATCTTCTAACACAAAGTTTATACAATGGGCACCACATAGAGTCCAAACACATGTGTAGCCTCTTTTCAGTTAACAATTTACTAGCCAAATAAATTGTCCAATAGCTCAAATAGATTGTCCCCAATCATCATGCATTCAAAAGTATGAATTTAAAAAACTACTATAAAATCATAAAATGAACAAATAGTTTGGTTCCATTCAACTCTTTTACTTTCTATTTCGTTGAAAAAAATTGACTTTTTTTATTAACTTTGAGTTTTATTCTATTTTATTTAAAATTCTAATTCATATATGTGCAGAACTTTCTCGTGGATATAAAAGGACCTGAATTAGCATTTCTACCGGTGCTTGCATTTGAAGGAGGAACAAGAAGAAATATACCTAAGTTTGAGGTGTGTAAAAATTATATATGTATGCTATTTGTGTAATTTATATTTGATATTTTGATGTCTCGACTCATAGTGGTAGAATTGTATACTACTTTATGTTTAATTTCTGCATATCATTTTTCTTTTTATGGCAGATTGAGAACTTTTCTATATAGAGTAGAGATGTTTAGGATTATTATTTCACTTTGTGGTATACTTTTCCACATTACGTCATGACAACATCTTATGGTTACTTTGCTTTATGAATTATGGCATTGACAATTATCATGGCTGTTAAGGTATTCGGGAAAGGCATTTATAAATTAGGATTTCGTTGTTGTGACTTGTGAACCAAAAGTTATATGATATGGGTGAAGTTCATTTTCTTTAAGAATCAAATCACTACTTCAGTTTAACCATTAGATTGCGGGTGCTATGCCAAAATTAACTGGAATATAGGACCATCCACTTGAAATAATTCAAGCTAAAAAATGAATGAAAATTTTTGTCCCTACCCGAGACAATAGTAGATTGAAATAATTCAGCTCAAAAAGGAATGAAATGGGTATATTTACCAAGTCTATCCACTACGACCATGATAGTATCATTATCCTGCACCTTTATGAGGCCCTCTACAAAATCCACAGGGATATCAGCCCAAACCTGTGTTGGAATTGAGAGTGGTTGAAGTAAACCTGTTGATGAGATAGGATTTGATACTTATCTGTTGTCACACTTCACAAGTAGCCAGTAATTGTTGATTATCTTTCTGCATGCCCTCCCTCCCAATAAACTAAGGCTTCCAGCCTCTTCTATGTTTTAAAAACATAGAATTGACCCGAGCGTTGTTAAACTTTGAGAAATACCAGCTTGCTATTGTATACTAATTCTTCAACTTGCAGGTAGGTGCTTTGCTCTATGTACGGGTTGTGAAAGCAAACCCTGGAATGAATCCTGAGCTGTCATGCATGGATGGTTGGTGTCTTATTCTTTGACTTCATTTTTAAATTCCTATTTTGTGGCTACCTTTAAATCATAGAGCTTTAAATTCTCTGGTTAATGTTATGTTTCAAACACAATTCCCATCTTTGATTTTTTTTATGGTGTTTGTTTAGCCAGTGGGAAAGCAGGAGAGTTTGGTACCCTAAAAGAAGGCTATATGTTTGAGTGTTCAACTGGTCTCTCAAGAATGTACAGAATTTAATTTTGTTTTTCTCTTCATGTATACTTTTAACCGATCATGATACGAGAAATGTATGTTGTTTGTAGGCTTCTCAGCTCACCCACGTGTCCGGTGCTTGGTACTTTAGGGAAGAAACTCTCTTTTGAAATAGCAGTTGGCTTAAATGGACGTGTTTGGGTATGCAGACGCATTCTAGTTTCAGCGTTTTTTATTTCTTGTCTCATTTCTAGCATTGACCAATATTTATGAGTTGGGAGTTGGGAGATTTTCTTTGTATTAATTTAAGTCTTCTGTTTGATTTTTTTCCCCATCTAGGTCAACGCCTCGTCTCCATCTACAACTATCATTGTAGCTAATGCACTCATAAACTCAGAGACATTGAGTGGTGTCCAACAGAAAATAATGGCTGAAAAGCTGCTGCAGAGAGCCCACTGATCAAGTTAATCGCACGCGCATAATTTTCAATCTGGTTCTTTGTGATGTTATCTTGGAAATGTCTTCTTATCGCATTTTCAACTCATCAAGTGCATAATTGTTTGTCTTCCCAAATACCAGCCCTTCTGCAGGGCAAGGGCAGTCTATGATACTACAACCACTAGCTAAATGCACAAATGATTTTCAACTCATAGGCTGTTCAATGCAAGTTAAAATGATGTGTGATGTATTATTTGTTACTAGGAGTTTAATTTTGCATATTTATTAGAAATTGTTATTTCCATTCATAGAAATTCAATACTTGCAGTGTTTGTCTAATTTAAAATGCGATGGTATAATATTCTGTCAGTGATGCCGTTCTAGCTTGTTTTTTATAGAGAAAATATGTATGCACCCTTAAATTTTTTAGAGGATATACAAGTGGTTCATGGGAATATGCTTCCAGCGTAATCAACAACGACTTACCAAATAGAACTAACCATAAAAAGTTCAATATGTCTTTTATGATTGGATCATACAATAATTTGTTTGCCTTTGGATAAAGAATCTTTTGAAAACTAATAATACAATTCTGTTGACTTATTATTAGGGGTTGCTCTTCCACCCCTTAGTTAGACTTTTTGTCAGAGTTTGTAGGGGGAGTAAGGGAGGTAGAACAGCGAAAAGAATAGAAAGAATTTAGTTGAGGAGGATTTTGATGGATTTATTTTTATTAAAAGTCAAATTTCTCTAATTTGAGGAATTACAATTATATTGGAGAAGAGATTTGAAAAATTTAGACTAATTGTTTAAATATAATTTATGATATTATAGTATTTAAAAAATTAAAAACATGTTAATGATAAACCATTTTCTTATTTTATTCTGTACCAAATCTTTTTTTAAAAGAACAGTAGATATTTTACTATATTTAAAAATTAAAAAAAAAAATTGATGTCCTTCCATCCAAAGTTCTAAATAAAGTTAATTGGTGAAAAGTCACATTTAGAAAATTCGAAAAAGCAATTGAAATAATACGAAAGTTAACTTTCGAACTCTTTTTTCATGTACATCAAAACAATTTGTAAATGAGTCGTCTCTATTTTGCTATAGGAAGTTAACCTCTCTGTATTCATGAAAAGGTGATGTCGTAGTTAAATTTCAGACTAATCTCTAGACACATTTGGAATTATGATAATGTGTTTATTTTTCCACTATTA